TTATTATTATTATTATTATTTCTTTTTTTGGTTGGCAATGGAAACAAATTTCATCTCCAATACCAGTAAAATCTATCCCTTTAATTGATAATTTTCGTGTAAAACAAAGCCAAGGGAACACCAAAAAACACTTTTATCTCCACATTTTCTACTTGGAAAATTATACCAATCAAACACAATAATTTACAATTTCCAGGAAAACAATTTCTAGGCAATTCAATTCCCTAAAATTCGTTTTCAATTCTATCTTTACAATCAAACGGAGGCTCAAGTATATCGGCAAATGGTTCCAATAGATGGTCATAGTTTCAAGAACAAAAGCAATTTAGACACACTATAAAGGCTTTCAATGTAAGTTAGTGGAAAAAATGAAAAGCATAATGTTAGCTTCATAAATTCTAGAAAATATAAAATGAGATATTTATGCCATGAGCAACCTTCTAAAATATTTCTAGGAGGTCAATGAATCATCAAATCATCCATCTGATTAAGTAAACAGTACACGACAATAAAATAAACTAAATGTTATTCCAATGAACTCGGACTTGGTCCTTTTTCACTCTTTTGTTCGGTCCACAGCTATATCTACGTATCTACAGGAATTCCAATGCAGTCAAATATTTTGCAACCACGCATACAATATAATTTTTTGTATCCCTCTCCTGACTGTTCTGCAAAGACAGCAACTCGGACTTCTGAACATCTTTAGGTCAGCGCAAGGCATACCACGACCACCTATATTGTCCTTCCCTTAGTTTTTCCTCAATTGCTCACCTCCACTCGATGTCATACACTCTCATCTTCAATGCTTTAAGTTTTAGTATGACCATATTAATATTAATATCCTCATTTCCTCTACATTCATCTTAGATATATTTTGTAATTTAATGGCAAGGAATTTTAATCTAAGCATGACTAATATAATAGCATTCTATAGATCTTGCCAAATGCCAACTCACTTTAATCCTATGCATTATATATTCGTCAAACTCATATTTGTTATTATTGATCATATCTAAACATCTAAACAACCTCTCATCGGGATATAATCATCCTCTATAGTGACTCTATCGTCTTTCTTATTCCCACTATGACACTATGGACATTTTATGTACTTTTTGTCTGGTTCTACTTAACTTAAAACTGATAGTTTTTAACTCAATTTATCCTCCTCCTAGCTTTGTCAATTAAGCTATGGCATTGTCAACAAATAACATACACCAATGGAACTTATCTTCAATATATAATTAATAAAATAAAAAATCTTAGACAAGACTCATGAGGTTGTCTATGGTTAAAGCAAAAGGATGAGAACTAAAAAAAAAAATTTAAAATTTAATACAAGTCTACAGTAATAGGAAATTATACTACCATCAACATAACTACATTTCACTTTTGTGGCTGCTCCAGTATACATATATTTTCATAATATTAGTATATTTAACGAAATTTCCTTTTGTGTCTAACGACTTTCCACCATAACACTTCATTGAGTTCCCTTCCATTCAACTTGGTTGATTAAAGGTGCCAAAGGGTTTAAGTCACATCCAAAAGTTGGTTCTATGTAGAGTGCAGCCTTCGCCACCATGTGTTTGGTAAGAATTATCCTAATTCCACTCCTTGAAATAAATTTAATTGGTGAAAATTGACTCATATATAAGGTGGTCAAATATCAATGGCAGTGGCGTATATAAATAATTTGTCAATAACCTAAGCTTATAACATCAATAATAAGTCAAACTAAAACTTTTGGAGATCTGGTCAGCTGAATGATTTTGCATTTGACAAAAAATGATGCAACGCAGTACACGAATTACGGAGCTATTAAATTCTAGAAAACCTTAAAGGTCTACAAATAAGTGTTCGCTGACCTTGGGTTCTAATTCTAAGGAAACAAAAGTCTTGGTCAATTCCATTGCTTTGGCTACAGAGATTATGAAATGTTACAAAATAAATTTATACATGGATCAGGCAAAAAATAATTGTTTTGATAGTTTTGACAGTGCGAAATTATAGGGCTACCTTTCCGGTGTGACCCTGTAAGGTCCGACAGCAAACCAGGTCGGTCGGGCCAAAAGTCACCGGAGTCTTCCCTTGAGACCTCGCATATCCTGCAACTGCCCAATTGGAAGTATAATTGAATAAGCCGGCACCAACATTGACAGATCTGAAGCACACTCCAATTTAAATCAAACCATAACAGCAATAATTACGATAAATAATTTGAAAAAATTACCATCAGTGTCGAGAAGGAGCAGACGCTTCTGTTTTAATTTATCTCCGAGGGCATTGACAGTCTCTGTAGCGGCCATGTGCCGCTCTTTCAGCTCTGCAACTGATGACATCTTATTTTCCATTAAACCTTAGCCTTTCAGCTTCATTTGAGCACTAATTTTAGTTACGAAAGATCAAGAAATCAAAATTTACGCTTAATTCATGTAAAAATTGGGTTTTTCAAATCAACAACAAGCAAACAAACAAACAAAAAAAAAAGGCTTAAACGGGCTATATGGAGTATATTTGGGGAGAATGGAAGAGGTAGTTTCGTGGAGAGGTAAGTGGTGACTCGGAAATGGTGTGGACGCAAAGTGGACTGTGTTGAGCGTCCAGAGAGAGAAGGAGAGGAGAGAGACAGATGCAGAGCCGCCGGGCCCACAATTTGCTGCCATGGGGTTTCATAATTCTATTCAAACAGTAGGGGGAGAGGGGTGCCGTTTCATGTGGGACCCATATTTCATAGTTGACAACTTTGGGGTAAATTTCAGAAGAAGTCCCCGACTTTATATTTATGACATTCACATCCCAAACCTTTTAACATTATGCACGCAGTATTCTCAAGTGACGGAGATATGCACCTGATGTCTGACTGAAGGGGCAAAACTGTTCAATTTTTTTTTTTTTGCATTATTGACACCACGAAAATTGTTAGCTACACCACAATATTATTTCCTAAAATAGTCATAAATAAAAAAAATAAAAAATGAATGACATAAATAATCCCTTATTTACACACTATGCTATTTATGTACATCATAATTGAAAGCCTAACTCATTTACCTGCGTACACTATGAATAAAAAATCCTAACACACATTTGCGTACATTATACATAAAAATATAATCAAATTTATCACATTTTGTGGGATTCTCATACAAAATTTTAAGAAAATGTGCGACTTACTAGTGGTTACCTCAATAATATTCAAGCTATGTTTGAGCCATATTTTTTCAAAAAAATGCATTCTTAAACAGTGATTTGATATCATTTCAATAAAATAATATTACACACAAATTCAAAATTTTTCTTTATTTTTTAATCATACATTTCCTATCAATACACTATTCAAAAATGTATTCTTTGGAATATAATGTGGCTCAAACAATGGCTCAGTGATCGCAATAGATTCAGTAACCAAAAAGCATATTTTGAAAACTATTGCTTATATGTGTGTTTTCTTGTTTATTGATGATCTAAATCTCAATGAACTAGAATACTACAATTTCGAAATTAAATGATCACTGTCAAATTATATTAAATGTTGCTCTATTTTAAATGATTTTATCCATTCAGTCCAGCGTTATATATGATTCCATGGTCATTTAATGTCTAAATAAATATTATTCGTCAAGTAAGGATATCGTGCACATAATGTTAAAAAACTAGAGATACATGTGCATTATAGGGACATAGTTGTGACACATTAAATGTTGGATACCTTGTAAGGAATTTTTCCACAACTTTCATATACTGCGTTGTGTGTATGTATTTTTATTTTTCTTTATTTTAATATCTATTATTTCTATATACACTCTTGTAATATTCACATCTTGTTTGAACCTCATTTTTGTCAAAGAAAAACATTTTTGAATTGTATATTGATAAAAAATGTGTGGTTAAAATATTAAAAAAAATTTAAATTTATATGTCATATTATTTTATTAAAAAATATGTGGTTATAATGTGGTGCAAACACAATTCAAGAATGCATTTTCTTTTTTCAAAAAATGGGGCTCAAACAAGAGCTTAATTTTATTCAATTTGGCCCATTAAAGAGCAAGTACAATTATGTTTGTTGTCAACATGTCTTGCTCAGTTCGATTTACCAAATATCAATGTTCTAAGAAGCATAATGCATGATCGTGTGTGGAGACCGAACTATGAGCTAGGCGAGTTTAAGCGAGACATAGGCGTAAAAAAATAGAAAGACATTTTTATTTTAATATTATTTTAATCAATCAAAAAATTATTTAATAATTAAAAAATAATACCTACTAAACCTCTAAAACAGATTTAAAATAACTTTATACATTTTTTTTAAGTTTCCAACAAAAAGTAAATACTAAATAGTAAATGAATAGAAATTTTTGAAAGTTTTCCTTTGTTCAAATCTTCAAGCGATTGTTTTGAGTTTAGAACAGGCGAAGTGAATAAATCAACCTTTAAGTTTTAAATTAAAAGAATTGTAAAAAGACTTAAAATAATAATAATAATAATAATATGAGTCTAGACGTCAACAGCAATCATTGACCACTAAATAAGGCGCTAAGCCACTTGACTTGACGTTTTCGCCAAACATATAGCGTCTAAACGATCGTCAAAGAGTGCCTTTTAGAACACTGCTAAATATGAGTTAAACTATACTACAAAGAAATAAACAATGCATGAACAATAATCCCAGATTAATATTTTTATTATTTAAGAATATAACTGAAATTAAAAAATAATAGTAATAAATTTTTTTAAATAATTATTTTTAATTATAGAGGAAAAGAAAGAAAAGTGAGATGATAAGAAGCTGGAAATGAAATTTGGTCCAAGGGATAAGGACACTCTGATTGGAGAAAGTCAGATCACAATTTTCAACTTAGTCAAAAACCTCTTTCTCATCACGGAAATGATTTGGTAGAAAGTATATCAAACTCATTGAAAATAGCTTACTCTCTTTTTGGCATGCTTTTTTTCGTTGAAAAGTTCTTTGAGGTTGTTATCTCATATCAATTTCCTCTTAAAAATTATTTTAATCAGATAAAATACTTTTAAAAAAAGTTATTCATAAATATTTTTGAAAAAAATTCTTAATCTAAAAAGTAACTTCTGACTTTTAAAAGTGTTAACAGGTCCTCCGTATATTAATTTTAAGACAATTATTGAAGATTGGGCATATCTAATAGCAAATTAAAAGAAAATTCTGGTTTCTGGAAAAAAGTTCCATTGCCGGGAATCGAACCCGGGTCTCCTGGGTGAAAGCCAGATATCCTAACCGCTGGACGACAATGGAATGTTGATGTGTATTTAATTCTGTAATTTATAGTTTAAATTAATTTTTATCTTGAACATAGAAATGACTATTATATTTTGCTTCAAATAATTAAAGTTACATAAATACACTTAGGGTCCATTTAATTGCAAGAATGAAATATGGGTGAAAAGAAAATTAATTTCAGAAAATTAAATTATCTAAATTTTGTTTTACTGAGAATTATCGATTAAATGAATTTGATTGGTATAATTTTTCACCTGAAAAATGTTAAAATTTTGAATTTTTTGATATTCGTTTGACTTTGTTTTTCATAAAAATTGTCAATTAAATGATAAAATTTGTTACAATTGTAGATATAATTTGTTTTCATTACCAAAAATAAATAAATAAAAAGCTGGAAAACCCAATTCCCACCAAAATCAAGGAACAAACAATTCCTTTAAAACCAAGAAAATGTGTTCATTTTAAGGGTTAATTGGAAAACCAATTCCATAAAAAATTTTGCCCGTCAAACATACTATTTGGGTGAAAAATGAAAAAAATTTCATGGAAAAAAAGCCTATCAAATAGGCCCTTACATTAAAGAGGAGAACTCAAGTTAAACTTAAAAATGCGTTTGGAATCAATTATCTTTATGCATGGATGCTAGAAGAGCCAACTGCTTTCTTTGAGATCAACACCTTGATACTAGAGTTCAAGTAATCACCTACCTTTCAATTTGACTTTACAAAACAACTTCGCTCTGCTCTCTCTCCTGCGAGGAATTACAACTTGGGATTCGATTTCAAGTTAGTCGGGATCATATAAGTTAAAGTAATCCTTCCAATCACTTCGCAACCGTAAAGCAATTTCTCTTGCAAATTGAATATGTCTTTAAATAGGGCTGTCAATGGAGCGGATCTATCCAAATTCGATCCCCTCCGATAATCTAACGGATATTTGATTGTTAAATCCATATCCGATTTGCTATTTTATCGGATATCCGATCCGATAATCCGATCCGCAATTTTTTCCACCAATTTTTTCCAAAAAAAAATATTTTAACTATCTTGATGGGCTCACGTAATAAACTAGAAGGCCCAAATCAATTTTTTATCCAAGTGATGCTCCTTTAGTTCCTTTTAAAAAAGATTTCCCTTGAAATGTTTTAATAATCTTCTTATGTGGGATACTACATTTTTAAAGGGTACTTCTTTTATAATGTTTTAATGGTTTTTCAATGTGCTATACTACTCAATTGTCATTTTTAAGTGTTTACTAGTTTATTTTATTATTTTCACTAAAAATATAGCCTAAACAAAATTAAAATAAAAAACAATATCAATTTTAACAAAGTAAATTATTTTTGGACATATTAATTATTAGTTTTTGATGTTATAAAATAAATTATTATAGTTATTTTTATCTTATTTTAATTAATAAAAAATTAAACCTCTTTGAATATTTCAAGTAAAAATATTATACTATTATCTAATATTATTTATTATTTGAAAATTATGCGTAAAGCATAATATAAATTTCAAAATGGAAAAAATTATGTTTAATAAATTATGATATAATATATAAAATATATAATATTATTATAATAAATCAGATTGGATTGTTATCGGATCGGATCGACATATATCCATATTTGCTCCATTTAGTTAACGGATTATCGAATTCAAATTTTAATCGGATTATCGGATTGAAACCTTAAATCCATATCCCGTTAATTTCATTGGATTCGGATCAAAATTCAATCCATTGACAGTCCTATCTTTACATCTATGACTCATTTTTAATAATAGTTCTTAAATATTTAACAGTTTATACCCATATGTTTTAGTGTGTAGTTTAATTTAGAAATCGAACACTACAAACAAAGCATTACATTTTTTTCAACCATGTAGTCCAGCCTCCATGATTATATTTTAATCATAAAAAAATTGATTAAAGTCACATCAGCTTGGAAACAACTTTTGACATTATAATCAAAGATGCTTTCATACTGCATACAAATTATTAGAACGTTGAAACATAGTACTTGGAATTAACTTTTTCACTTTTCTCATCGTCCCATATTTCACACTAAAACAAACACCACAAAATTAGGGGAGATAATGTCACAAAATAGTAAGGTAGAATAGTGGTGTGAAAAAGTGGAGTTAATTGTTCCAATGGTTACTGAACTTAAGTTCATGTCTTTGATTGATTATTGAAGTTAAAATGTCAAATTTTGGTCACCGAATTTAGTTCACGTCTTTGATTGCTCACAGAAGTTTAAAATATCGAGTTTTGGTCATTGAACTTTGAAAAATATTATATATTACTCACTGTAAATTCGATATTTTTCAAAATTCAACAGTTATGCTAGTAAGTAACGTACTACATTTTTCAAAGTTCAATAGTCAAAACTCGATATT